AATATTACATGTTAATAACTTGATTGGAATTATAACCTTGAATTGACAGTTTGATACTTTGAAAATTTTGAGCCAGCCCTACCCCCAAGGGCTGTAGGTGCTAGTTTCAAATCCTTTTTAGTCTGAAATCTGTATGCTAGATATTGAGTAAGGTGGTTTTATTGTTTTTTGTCACTTTGAATAATATTTCTGTTCATGTTAAAAACAAAATCAACTCTCTGTATAAATATATCAGGTGACCGTTAAGGCCCATGGGCCTCTTGTTACATGATTTTTTTTTAATTAAAAAGGCCAAAACTAGAATCTATGGTATATATATATATACATTTAACATATTCTTCAGAGGGGCAAAAGTAATGTGCACGCTCTCAAAAAATGTAAGCTTTAGTATTATATACATAGCTTACAGTGCAGCAAAGCTATTGTCTTGTAAGAGTTTTACACTGATATCTATTGTAGATCTACAGAAAAGTGATTTCATTTTGAAGTGGAAATTATTTGGTTTGCACTTTATTACATCACAAAGGTTGGATGTACATGTAGACATATGTGATCGTGATGTTGGTGTTGATTTTAATTTGCCTATGTATATTGAAATAAGTATTAATATTTACTTTGAAAGCAATTTTTGTAAGACAACAAGATGCAGTACAACCTTGTTATACTGCCACTATTTGTCCAGAGAATTGTTGGGTGTTATGAAGGGGTTTGGCATTAAAATGAGGTAAACATATAAAGAAATACATTAAATGAGGTTTCTTTTTTTTATTATTAAATATCTTTGGCAAGACAAACGTGCGAAATGTTAACTTCTTATATAGGAAACTTTTGGCTATTATGGTGTCATGGGAAAATTAAACTTACAAATTTCCAGGAATAGAAATGGAGAATTTGACAGGTTAAAGTGGAAGCTTTTTACGTTATTTATTAGGTGCTTCATTGTTTCATTAATACCATGGGTAGGAGATATGTTGAACGGAGCTTAATTTATTTTTGTTGTATTGGAAAGCAATTCAAGAAGATAAAACTAGAAAGTAAAACCAAAGTTTTAAAACAATCCTAGCTGCTCCTAGGTGTCTGTGTGTGAGGTCTGCCATGTTCTGTGGTTAGGCTTAAGCTTATAGTACTTATGCTTATGTTATAATGTATGGTCCTTTGACATGTAGACATTATTTTAACAAAAGTGATGATTAAAAATAAATGTTAGCTTCAATCATAATTTATTGTGAAAATGTGATCATATAAAATCCAAATAAAGTCATGTCTGAACGTGGATATTTCTGGTGTTTATTTCTACTGTGTAAACTTGATGCTATCCTGGTAGAGTATAACGCACTAACTATACCTTCAAGTATTACTTATATTCAAGGTCGAATCTTTTTAAAATATGCAAATGAAGCCTCCTGAACACCCAAAACAACTAGTCATGTTGTCTGCAGCTTGTTGGCATGGAGTACAGCTACCATGAAAAGAAATGACATTGACAGATATTCAGGGTCACAGGGGTCAAATATGTTAAAACACTCAATCACTATCTGCTGAAACACCAAGAGGCCTAGAATCTGGATACCGGTATATGGCCAGTGGCTTACTGGAATTGAGTGCTATTAAGTATGAGTAAGAAATTATCTTGACTTGTATTCAAGAAATGACCTTGATCGATATACAAGGTCACATCGGTCAAATCTGTAAAAACACAATTTCTTCTGAGAATCAAAAGACCTTGAGCCATGATTAGTGGCCAGTATTGGAATATATTGAGAAAACTAGAAAAGAAATGACTTTGGCCTGTAAATTCTAGGTCACTGGGTAAAAACAGCTTCTTCTGAGGGAGAGGCCTATAATTATGATATATAGCTGGTAACATGCAAAGTCTTCCAAGAGAAATGGCTTTAACCAGTGTAAAAGTTCACAGGAGTCAATCTGTTAAAACTCAAACAATGTCTTCCGTTGAATTAAAAGGGCTGAGTCAGGATATATTGCAAGTGGCTCGCTGGCAATGAGTGCTACATGTTTAAGAAAGGAAATGACTATGACCTATATTCAGGATCACGGACATCAAATTCTATTAAAATTATCAAATGACTTACGAAAAACGAAGTGGCCAAGAGTCATGATATATAGTACATATGTAGTTTGCTGACATGGAGTACTACAAATAATGTGAAAAAATTACCTTAACTGATATTCAAGGTCACAGTGATAAAATATGTTAAAACTTAAACTGTATCATATGCAGTACAAAGACGCCTTGAGTCATTTATAGCTAGTCTGTTAAAACACTGAAATGGCTTCTTCCGAAGAACAAACGTGAATAGACTCATAATATATGCCAGAAGCTTTCTGGAATGTAGTGCCATGAACTTTGCAAAAAGAAATTACCTTGACCCTTACTTAAGGTCACAGGGGTCAAATTCATTGAAATATTTATCAATAACTTAAATGCCTAATGCCTTTACCTTGTTTCAATTGCTTCCTGAAATGCAGTGCTTCAAAATTTAGGAAAAATAAAGGCCTTGATCTACATTCAAGTTCACAGGGGTCAAATAATTGAAATACTGAATCGACATCTGAAGAGCTGAAAAGGTCTAAAGTCATACTATTTATCCAGTAGCATTTTGCTGAAATATAGCGATAGGAAGTTTGTGAAAAGACAGATCACTTAATGCAGGTGAGCAGCTTCAGGCCTTTTGGGCTTGT